ATAACTGTAGTCCATGTAATTTTGCCATGCCAATAAAAATTTGGACATCCTCATGCTCACATTATGTGATATACAAATACCCTTAGAAGACGTACTTATGTCTTTAATACTGTTAAAGACATTGCATTTTTTTAAGATTGGTAATTTTTCCACTAATGCTTGTTTTCTTCCTCTTCTTTTTTATTAGTACTTCTGAAATCCCTCAGTTCCGGTTGCCATATGAGATCGTGAATTTTGAGATTGAGCTTATGAAGGACCTTGGTGTAAAGGTAAACAGATACCAACACCTATATACCTATATGTGTATTGTGCAAAAAGAAAGGAGTAAGCTCTATACCAAAGATTAACAGCAAATGTCACACATTTTAGGAAAGAATAATTAAAAGCTACACTAGGCAGAAGCAGAAAGATGCTTCCCTTTGCTTAGGGCATTTGTCTGTCTACTGTCTGAATACCACTAGCTTGGAAAAGGGCAATCAATAGTTCTCATCTGGCACGCCTGCATGTGATTAATTGTCTGTAAGAAACAAATTCCTAAATTGCTTTAGGGGTTCAGTGCAGCTAATAGAAGGATTTGGTTTCTTTAATCATGTTTTTTCATGCAAGTTATGTGCACTGTGAAACACTGGTATTTCACAATTTGGAACATGATTTCTTACAGAGATTTATTTTATTTATTGTATGCATTATGTCAGTGGTGCTAATGTGATAATCCTTTCTTAACATAAGCAGTAAATCAGTGGGGTAGAAACCAACACCTTTGTATTTTTCATTGTTGTGTGAAATAAATATTGTGGTGTTCTTTTAAAGATGGTTGAAAAGTTGACACATTGTACTTTCAGAATATAGCTTTAGATATTTGTATTCTTTTCTGTTAATTAAGAGTATTACATTCTAGTTCTTCTCTTGAATATATTGCTATTTTTGTTTTAAAAATGTTAATTTTCAATAATATATATAACTCAATAGATTAGTAATGTTCCATGATTTCCATAATACATTCTATAAATATATGCAGAAGATATTTTGAAAAGTCATTAACAAACTACTCATGGCTCTTGCATTTACCAATAACCTAAAATTAATCAGTAAAAGGGAAACACTTAAAATAATATTTTGTGCTTTTATATTTATAATTACATTTTATTTGACAGTGATTGGGTGATGAAACACACATAATTACTGAACAAAAAATCTAATAATAATAGAGAATGTACTGAGTGCCAGGAAATATACATTGTAGTCACAGTCATGCCACTTTCTAACTTTACAGTCAGATAGCCTTGGCAAAGTCAATTAATATTCCTAACCCTGGTCAGTATCTGTTAAAACTAGAAAGTATGCTGCTACCATTTGTGTGAAATATCAACCTATCTTCATATATGCATGGACTGTCCCTGGAAAGACATAAGGATCTGATTATATAGATTGCTTTTGGGAAGGTGTGGGAAGAATTTATCACCATTTTGTACAATTAAATTTTAAAACCTATAAATGTATTACATTATTGAGAAAAAAATTAGAATCTAAATTAAAGAGGATGTTGATAAGACTGTCTTGTCCATGTCTCAGATTGTTTTAATGTAAAGGACATAAAGTATTCGAACTTGCTTTGCAAACATTAAATTGTATATACATTTCTGAGGAGAGATGGCAATGAGATTCTGTTTTTACTTTGGAGATGGGCGTACATTGATGAGATACTCTTGCAGCTTTTCACCTATTGCTTTAGCCATTAGAGGGTACATTTTTTAAAAAGTGGTCTACACTTGTTATCTCCTTTTCCTCATCACTTAGATTCTTCTTACGGTCTGTCTTCTGTTTGTCCCTCTCAACTAACATTAGATACTTTAAAGTCAACAATAATTTCCTGGCAATGAAATGAGCTTTTCCTTGAGTTTATACTGTTTGACTCCTGTGGAGCATATGATGCCTAAATTCTTATATACGTATGTATGTTTGCATTTTTGGCTTTCATGGTCTATTATTGTCTTGTTTATTCTTCTACTTTTTCTTTCCAGCTGGTTTGTTTCATTTATTCAACAAATAATTATTCATAATTTACTTTTGCCAAGTAGTGTACCAAAGACTAGAACCATCTAGAACCATCCTTCTTTCGAATTCCAGTCATGTATTTTTAGTAGTTTACTAAGCATATAAGTCACATAAACTAATCATATGCAGAAGTGAGTTCAGTTCATCATCTTCGCTTCTATTTTTTAGCTAAATTTCCTTTTGAATAATTTCAATTTATTTTATGTGTAATAGCTGATCAGTTTTTTATATTTCTAAGGTGAATTTTTCAAGTCAAATATTATACCACAAGAAAATAAAGAGAATTTTGTGTGTTATTTTTGCATTACATATTTTTTCTTCCATTATTTCAATGGCTATTAAAAAAAGAGGGATAATATATGAAATCTTTTTC